CCCGTGGCAGGGAGCTCGTTGGTGCGGCATCTGGGGGGACCTGCAGGAGCAGCAGTGGCTCTGCCATTGCCTGCAGCCTTTTCGCTCCGGCGAGCAGCCCTAGAATAACAGACCAGCTGAGGCAGCCTCCCAGCTGTCTTGGTAACACCAGGTGCGGGAGCTAGAGGGGCTAACCTGTGTGGGCAGCACCATCCCCCACAGTCAGCCCTAAGAGCTCGTTGGTGCGGCATCTGGGGGGACCTGCAGGAGCAGCAGTGGCTCTGCCATTGCCTGCAGCCTTTTCGCTCCGGCGAGCAGCCCTAGAATAACAGACCAGCTGAGGCAGCCTCCCAGCTGTCTTGGTAACACCAGGTGCGGGAGCTAGAGGGGCTAACCTGTGTGGGCAGCACCATCCCCCACAGTCAGCCCTAAACCTTGCACTCCTGAGAGACCCTACAATAACAAACCCCATATGTGCGCCACACAGCTCTCCCGGGAGTCCCTACAATAACAAACCCCATATGTGCGCCACACAGCTCTCCCGGGAGACCCTACAATAACAAACCCCATATGTGCGCAACACAGCTCTCCCAGGAGACCCTACAATAACAAACCCCGTATGTGCGCAACACAGCTCTCCTGAGAGACCCCATGATAACCAAGCTGTGCATGCGCAGCCCAGCTCGCTGGAGAGACCCTACACTAACAAACAAGGGCCCGTCCAATGGGTATTCAGACTGCACAATGGGAGAGGCACTGGAGGGAGGGGGCAAGGGGAAGGAAGGAAATCCAGCCGCGTGGTGCCCAGCTGACTGCACAGCTCCGTGGGCAGAGAGTGGGCTCTGCTTTCACCTGTCTCCTCTCTCCCCAGCCCCGGAGGCACCTCTGGCTCCCCTGGGCAGCTGCCAAGCGGTCCTGGAAGCACAGGCCGCCCCGGAGCCGGCCGAGAGGAACTGGGCCCTGAGCCAGGCGTGTGCCCCCTACCGGCGCCTGTGTCCCGCCGACAACCTGAGCCCCGACGCCTGCGTGCGGCTGATGGCCGGGCGCTGCCAGCTGCGCCTGCAGGAGTGCAGTAGGTGCCAGCCCAGATCGGGGGCTTGCCAGCTGCAGGAGGCCGCTGAGCGGAGTTCACCAGGCGGGGGGAAGCTGTTTCCCTCATTTAATTTCCAAGCAACTCCAGGCCCAGCCCCCCCCCCCTCCCACCGTCCCCTCCCACCA